GTGATCTGAAAGTCGGGGTTTATCATGGTCACGCGTCAAAACAGGCTCACGCAGAAGTTTTCTTGCAGTCGAACACTTCTAAAAAAAGTTCAGCATAGACCTACAGATGTGTCCGCCCAACCCATGCAATAACGGCGAGTTATATAATAACACAGCGAAAATCGCATACTTTCTGGAAATAATATCAGTGCAAAAAGTATATGAATCGCAAAAGGTCCGCTTCTTTACAAAGCACACGAGATAGCTTTGGGAAACTGGCCAAGTTGATGGATAGCAGACACAGATTCAGTATTGCTAGGAGTGCTCAAAGAACGTTTCCAAGACAGCGACTGGAAATTGCTCAACGTAGCAACTTAGGCATCTTGAAAACAACAATTCTGAAAACAACCTTTGATCGATGCCTTATGGTCTGGTTGGGTTTCACGCCACTAGAAGGTACGAGATGATGTCTCCTCCACATTATTTGTTATAGACAGAATGGCTAGAAATGGTGCTATGGATGACATTGGTGACGTAGAGGGACTTCGCAGGCGCTAGCTGGTCACTTGGTATGATAGGAGAGCGTACTTCTTTTTCATGTTTTTGGAAGATTTAAGCTAACTGTGCTTGAGAATCTGTAAGTGCGTGATACCGGGTTCTTATTTCTTATTTCTTTTCTAAGTTTGCCATGTAGAAATTCCACTGACAGAGACTTGTACTTTCTAATCTATAGTCACATAGGAATCGTTCGTTATCTGTAATTTTTGCCTTTGTCTTCTCTCAGAATTTCTTGCAGCTTATTCTACACGAATTCTGTGCGTGTATAGTGCGAAATTTGCGTCTACAGTATGTTTACCGTACGTGTATATCCGATATGTTTGTGCAAAACAAAAACATACGATACACACTCTCACCAAAACGTAAATCAGACTACTATCTAAACCGATCACCTGCGAGAAAGGCTATTGTGATCTAGGCAGAAACAAACGAGCTAATTATAATTATAAATTTTACATGCTTTTGAACAAACCTCTTTATATAGGCGCAATAGAACAAAAGTGTTTACATACTACATGTTCTTTTCGCCAAAACCATTGTTCAAAATATTTAAACACAGAAACGTGAGATCGAGCAAACCTAACACCATACAAAGAAGACACCAGACTTTTAACGTTATGAATATTATTAATTAACCAACTTTTTTCCCTCCGGAAGGTTGCCTGCCGCACTGAAACACAGCAGCTGTGCACAACTGTTGCCAATCAATATATATATGCATGTGCTGACACACCACGTGCTGACATGATTAAGCTGTATCCCCAACAAAACCTCCTACATGTCCTACTGAAGACTGTACAACTTCCAGACAGCACAGTCTAGCACACGCCTCCTAATCTAGGTGGCCAAATAATCGAGACGCAAGATTACTACCTCAGACGTCGGCTCAACACCATGACCCAGCTAGGTGGCGGGGAGATGGCGAGGGCAGGCGGAGAGGAGCAGGGGTTGTGTAGAAGGATTGGCTCCTGATTATATATTAACAACAAGCTAGCAGCTAGGTCTTCGATTGCCTCTCAGTGCACAGCACTCGTAGCTCTATAATGAAGGTAATCAAGCTGAGACACAGACAGACATATCTATGACATGCTAGGTGTACATGAGCTCAGTACACGCTGTGTATATATATATATTATTATATATATATATATATGACACTTATCCTCTCATAGCTAACAGCAATATGGATTACAAGAAAGGATATGTTTTTACAAGGAAGAAACTATATGCATGTGTGTGTGTGCGTATGCGTGTGTGTGTGCTGATATGTGTGCGTGCGTGTACCGTCGCGTTACATGTGTGTGTGCGTGCATGGTGTGTGCTTGTACGTGTGCTTGTATGTGTGCTTGTACGTGTGCTTGTATGTGTGCGTGCACGTGTGTGTGCATGTACGTGTGTCTCTGGACCGGTGTTCAAGTCATTGCATAACAGTGGTGGGTTGGAAAGGTTGGAAATAATTGGAGAAAGTAATATTATATATAATAGTCTTAAGGATATTCACCAATATTTAATGATCGTGTTCCGCAATGAAGGCGTTACACCTCGATCGCGCATCTGTCTCTCACCAGCCATTCTTAACTGAAATGAGAAACACACAGCACCATGTCACAGTGTCATTCGTTATACAGAGTTACAGTGTTTCCCCTGCATTGACATGAGCAGGCGCCTCGCTCAAATTCTCAGCTGCCACACAGAATTTGTCCGAAATCACCGCCTCGCTGACAAAAAAATCAATGATTCTTCCATACACAGTGCTTTAAAGCACAAATTGCCACCATTTTTTCAAAAATTTCTGGTGTGGCATGCCCCAAACCCACCTAGCTGGCCAAGCACCTGGCGTTGCTTGCTTGCTAGGACAGTAAAAACGCGCAAACACCAAAACAAATTTTAGCGACACAGACCTTTTTGGCCAGGAGGAAACACTGGAGTATATATGATCTCACATGACGTGAGAAACAATGGAAACATAAATAATGCTGCAATGCTACCTGTACCGCACTGACAACAGTACACACGCAACGCACGCACAGCGCACAAACACCACACGCACGCACGCACAGCACACACACACGCACATTCTACAACGCACACAGGCACATATATAATGTAATTTATGGTATAACATGTTTATCACACTTATGACACTAAAATATTCACGTTTCTCATCCTTGGGCAGCAATCTCAGTCGTCCAATACTAGAAAGTCACTCTGTAACAATAATAGTTTGAGATATGTGCATGTACTAACTACTAGTGATGTCACGATCATCGATTATACGCGATCATCGGTTGAACAGTGGCTCGAACAAGCGCTTGGTTATCAAAATCCATAATCGATTTCATAAAAAAAAAAAAGGAAAAGTGATTGAGAATCAGTACATGTATTATACACACAGTAGTAAACAGTGCAAAACAAACAGTAAACAGGGCTAACAAGCAATACATGCACACACATACATGCAACAAGACGTTACGCACACGCAGGCATTCAACACCCCGAGTAACCGATTTTAACCGATCATCGGTTACTTGGGTCCAACGATGATCGATTACGAAATTACAACCGATTGACAACACTACTAACTACTATCAGCAGATAGACTTGATTTTATTGCAATAGATTCTGATTTCAACATGAGCGAAATGTGAGCAGTGTTTGTCATGCATGATAGAGTTTTCATACAACTAAGATTCAATTCAACTTCTGCTACACAGTCACACATGTTGCATCTGCATGTATGTATATCCACGTTCATAATAATGAATAAATCACATTTATACCCATTACAATACTACAGTGTTTAACACGTATATTTATAAGTTAAATATAAACTTACACCGTTTGTACAAATAAGCTTTTCTAGAGTGGGATTTCTGAGATGACTTCAGCGAAATGCTCCAACTTTCTAGAATTAATTAAGAGCGTATGTACTCATTCAAATATTTAACAGCTTACTTCAAGTGAACATATTGTTGCCAGTCATGCGTTATATTAAATATCCTTAATTTTGAACCTCAGAGTGCGGACTCCCTCATTTTGCTGCGCGATCCCTCTTTTTTGAGGTAGGGAGTCCGTTGGACTCCGTGCTTCAAAAGTAAATTTCTACCCCTGATAACACATGATTATAAAACTAGCCTGAGTGCCACCTCAGAAACTCAATAGAACTTACACACAAAATATGAAGAAAACCATCTAGGTCAAACCGAGTCACAACCAGGAGCCATGGTTTGTTCTTTAATAACTATTCTCATTAGTCTAAAGCTTTACCCTCTCTCTTCCTTTTCTTGCTGCATGACTTTTCTCAATTCCTGCAGTCTCTCTTCTATCTTCCTATGGTCCATCTCTAATTGCTTTGTCTCCTGTCTGATTTGATCTGCTGACCTATATGCATAAGTAACACATTTAAAAAATGTGTAATCAGTATGTCGTTTTTAGACAAATATCCACCCGTTTCGTATATCTAACGTTCATATATCATTATGCCTTTCTGAAAAGCTCTCAGCTAGGTAGACAGACCTTAACAAACTTCTATAGTTCTAAATAAATTTTGCTCCATATTAATTCTCAGCATCTACTGCCAGTACTGGTGCATCATTATGGTTCCACAATATTCATTGTGATAAAGTTTTTATTATCATGAATACCTCCATTGCTGATGTATTTATAGCTATATATAAATATAATAAATTAAGCCTACCTTTCCCTAAACTTGTAGGAAAGTTCATCTTTTTTGGGAAAGAGGTTGAAGTCTCCAGGTCCCACCTGCTCCATTTTGGTTATGTTTAATGAGTTTCTGGAAAAGCAATGTGTATTATGTATAGCCATTTGTTAGTTGTAGCACATAACCCGTATTGCTCTGCATACCTCAAGTGATCCAGATCACAGGCACATGGAACATTTCAATAGTAATTTGTAAAAACTAAAAATAAAATAGGGGGCCTACTAAAAATAAAATAAATGTGAAATGTACCACCACCTTCCTCTCTCTCTCAGTCTCTCTACTCCCTTTCACCTATTATTATTGATAATTTCCTGTTATTCCAGTTCAAATGCTCCTGTGCAACACACAAGTACACTGCCCGCTATTGCTTGTGTTATATTATTTCTTACAGATTTATATGTTACACTTTACAGATATAATCTGGCAATGCCACATACATAAAGTTCACTTGTTTACAATTTTCGTTTGTAGCAACGGGCGTGACATAAATATTTAAGGTATCGTACACTTGCGGTCTATTTCTTTTTAGATCAATGTCGGCAATCCATCACGAATCCTACATTCTACAATGAGTTATTCATATACAATGTAACGCTCTGCACTAAGTATGTAATTTATATATACATGTACTTTTTGAACCTATTCTTAATTATATTCGCTATTTTATCCTGATAATAATACTTGTGTATTAAAATAAATTCATGTTCAAATTTCCTATGGCACTCTCCATAAACATGTTTTTCCTAAACCAAGATGGCAGCCTCCATGTGATGTTTTGCTTTACTGAACTGTTTGTACTTTTTCCGATATAATTTTAATATAATACTGTTCTAGCACTAGCATCGTCACACTAAATTGCACAAGTAAGTATTTAGCATTAATACGGTTTGTGTGCATTATCAACTATATCTCTAGTACTATTACTACTATATAATATAGTATATAAGTATTATAATCAGGGTTCTCCCAGGATGAAAGTTACAACACTTGCAAACAGGCGGAGAGGGAGGCGGAAGGGGAGGGAGAGGGAGAGGGGAGGGGGTTGAAAAACTAGCGGCGTCCGTGAGCGTGTGTTTTTGGTTGTACGCGTACCACTATTAATGCGTTAAATATATCGCCACCACACTATAGACGGTATTTGGGGGTTCTTGTAAGTTGGTATATATAAGATAAGAGTAGGCCCGTAGTCGGTGCTACAGTTAGTGGTTGTGTGTGGACAGGTTAGCTGGCGGATTTGTAACTTTGTGTGATTCGTCTGCACATGGCCTAGTGCATGGCGTGGGCACGTAGAAAATATACGCGCTGGTTGTCCTGGTCGAATGGGAATTCTTGCCGCATCGATTCCCGCGGCTGGCAACTTTTATTGTGGTGGAATTTAATCGGTGACGAGGTAATTTAAACGGGGCGGGACGATTGAAAAAGGGGGAGTTTGCCAAACGGGGGCGGGCGCGCACGCCCCGTGTGGTGCGCAACGTAGAGAACCCTGGATAATTATAGGATATAAGGTAGTAATACTTTACGTACGGGTACGTACCCTTCGACTCGCCGCGCAGGCGCATATCTTCTGCGCGGACGAGCGAAGGGCTAGGTAGCCTAGACTATAGCTATGGACGTGATGATTCGTTCCGAGGCATCGTCGACACCTGTTTGTATGCCGCTCACTTTCGTGCCGGAGCAGTTGTGCGCATGCGCTTGTTCATGTTGTATTACATAAATGTATTAATATAATCCTAGTCTAGGTTCCCTAGTAGGGAGTAGTCCTAATCAGGTTAGTAATCAATCACACAATCAATGCCCTAACCTAATACTAATCAATAAACGACTCGGATCTCCTTAATATACTCGCGAATCGTAGTACAAACACTTATCTATGGTGATTATAACAATGCACATAGCATGTATGGCAGGCGCATCACAGCCGTTAGGGCTGCCGTTAGCAAGAAAAACGCTCGTAGAAATTTAGTCATTTTAGAAAGGTCTGAACGCAGAGGCCCGGGGGGCCCTAGACTGGAGACTCACAGCACCCGTTGCCAAGTTGAGGTCGCCTCGCCGTCAGATCAGAGACTTCCCTTCACAACTTACCTACCTCCAGCACTCGTGCCTGTTGCGATGCACTGACATAAATGATGCAGCGCATGACAAATACTAAGTTGTCGAACTATAGCGCCATACGAACAGGTATTACTGGTGTCCGATGCATCGGATCGAATATCCACGTCGATAGCGAACCTAGGCAGGGCGAATACGATTCTGTTCAACTATTATAGACTTTTTATATTTTGGTAGAGGGTCTCTTGGGACAGAAACGGAGATCATTGAAAATTTTTCTGAATCGCATGCAAAATGATGCGACTGCTAATGCGGCCGTACGCGCTATTGGCACGGAAAATGAAAAACTACTGCGTTCCCTTTACATGGCTTTTACCTTTACTACTTATATTGTGTAGGTACATTACTTCTTATAAGATTGTTTCGAGAACCGCTTGCAGTTTCACTTAGTTAAATTCATTTGCAATTTACAAACAATCAGACAATCAGAGCAGTCTTACAATGCCTGGGTTCTCGTATGTATCTGTGGCGTGCAGGAGGTGATAGCATCGCTCTGATTCGTTGTACAATGGCGAATGTAATTACTTAAGTGTAAATGAGGGGGTTTCTGAAAAAAAATTTTTAAGAAGTGCTGCAATAACGATTGAAGTGGAAATGTATAACGTCATCAGTAGCAGGTACAAAAGCGCATTCTGTAGAAGAGAATGGTAGAGTTTTTTTTCGGTCAATATTAGACGGCTTGCACAGAAACGGAGTAGGCCATAGGGCCGCAAATGTAGCAGGCGGACATGATTTGCGATGCGAATCTCACGAAATGTTGCATGCACCCCGTTCTCTGCGTGCCTAATACCTCAACCAAATATAAAAATAGGTCTATTAGTGGGTAAGAATTATTCGGTCTAGCCTATACCGTATTACGGGCTATAGCTGATAGTACTAGAGCTAACATCAAAATGATCAATAGTGAGCATAATAGAGAAGAGTTATGAGCACACGGATTTTAAACAGAGTTTTGCATAGTTTTCAACTTGTTAAATATTCTAGTGGTCATATGTGATAAATTATTGAAAATGTCTACCTTGTTTTGATCTATGGATTCTCCTTAATCATATGGAACACCACCTAGTTTACCTGAAAATCGTTTTGTTCTTCAAAGAAGTTATTTGAATACCGACACGGTTTCGTACAGCTTTCCACGCATTGGATGATGTTCCAGACAAAGTTTGTTTATGCGGATTAGTGTGTTATTTCTATGACGGTACGACTGTGGTGGGGTGCCGTAAGGTAATCAGCTGCCTACTAGACTTGGCGTGAGCACATTTATTTCTAGCACGCTTGTGAAACGCTGCAAGCTAACATACAATGTCGGATGCCTAATATACCCTACCGGCCCACAACCTATTCCGTATAGAAACTAGAAACACTATTTCCGCATAACAAAACTTGGGTCCTGGAAGCAGTGATACCATGCGTGAAACCTGTACGTAAGAACAGGAGCTGTCGTTATTCAAATAATTTTTTTGAAGAACACATACGATTTTCAGGTAAATTGGTGGTGTCATATGATTAAGGGAGAATCATAGACGAAAACAAGGTAAAGTTTCAATATATTTATTCACATATTGATAGAATATTTACAAGTTGAAAACTATGCAATACGCTGTTAAACCCGTGTCATACTCTTCTCTATTATGCACTCTTGAAATGATCAATTACTGCCTAACCTTGCTTCCACATGATATAGCCGTGTGACTCCTGATATCATCTCATACTCATAGTCATAGATAGGACGTGATCACATTAGACTGAGTGAACCCTACTCAGTGTAGGTACCGACAGAGATTAGCCCAATCTTGGCAGCCCCTCTGCCTTGGTAATCAGTCGAGACCATTTACTTAGCACTTGCATTGACTTCAGTTATCATGTTATTATTACTGCCAGGTGTGCTGGTCCGTGGTTGATGACATCTCTTCGCATCTGTTACTGGGCTGTGGCCTCTGTAATCATATTTATTGCATGTCGCTCAATTTGTCAGATATCCTAATAAATGTTATTGTTAGGAAAATACTAATTTATTTACAGATGTTATCAAGAGTGTCTAGAGTGTGTACACGCAAAGCTGTGCTCCACATAAGGTATTAATTATTATAATTATGGGTGACCAGTGATTACTGGCTACTGTATAACTGCTATGGTAAAGTCAAGTGGTCAAGTGTCAATATAATTGACATGATGAAATTGACACTGCCCTGTAGCAAATTATTTACTTGTGTAAAAGCTGTGTATGTACTAAATATATATAGAAGAACTGCTAGGCAGCTAGTATTATGTTCATTTAGGTTCAACAAGGTGCTTAATTAACACTACCTTGGAAGTTCTTGAAGTACCACAGTTCAATAAATTACAGTTGCCACGATTTGGTTACTTCGATACATTGATAGTTTTGATACTAATATTCTGCAATTAATTTCATTTATTATTAACAGTTTTGTAAAATCAACATTGGAAGGTCTTGGATGTACAAGTAGAAGTTGTTCCACCACAGGAGAGTCCATATTTGGACCCAGCTTTGAAGTAAGAATGCGCAAAAGGCAAACGTGTCAATATCATAAACTATCATCATTTTACGAAAAGCTAGCTCACTCACTTATCCTTGTAATATTCCTAGCTATATCAAGTGTTTTAATCAAGTTATATGCACAAGAATAGTCTTTTCTTCTTGTCAAAAAGAGGACTTGGCACTTCTTATATATTAAACTCATTTCTGTTACCCATTTGTAGGACGAGAATGCAATACCAGAGTACGACACCATAAACATTAACATAAAAGGCTATGACTTTGCAGTGCTGGAAAAATATGCAAGATATGTGCATAATACAGCCGAAAATATTGGTATAAATGTCACAAACAGGTTAGTTTGTACACTCTGTAAATAAGAATACATGTAGTGTTATTTTGTTTTGTGCATGGTTTGGCAGGGTATGTAGTCGGTTTTACATACTTTCCAGGCATGAACGTAGTTTTTTTAACTGGTCATATAGGTACCAGGGTTCTCCCAGGAACTTCAGAAGGCATGCCAGGCAATTAGGCAATACCCAATTGCTAATTGGAACGTGTCACAAGCAGCTGTAATACACAGATAAACTATCAGATCAGAGACGTACACATCACGCTTTGAAAACACGCGAATAGTGACTGTGTTGGGATTGTCAAATGTAAACACAGCTAGAAATTAAGGCATGCCGATTAGGCAATTACGGCGTGGCGTGGGGGGGGGGGTTATGGGATGCTACAAATTCGCCTCAGCTTTTGTCAGACTCGACATGCGTTAAAGGCCTGGGGAAAACCCCCTGGGGACTGTAATAGAGAGGCTACACGTTGCTACAGTCTACAAGCATCTCGTGTTCATCCACAGCTGGCCAGTACTGCCACAGGCAAGTCTTGTGCAGAGAATTAAGCAACGGAGCAACCTTGTGGAAGCCGAGTATAACCTGTCGTTATACGAGAGAGTAGTCCAGGTATGACAACACATAACATAAATAGCTACGGAACCACGAGCCTGTTGTTCGGAAACTGTTGTTTTTTCAGTGTAATCGTCATCGTGAATGACTTTGTTCTCGTAGGACACCTTCTGCTGCATAAGCTGATGCGTGTGCTTCCCATCTGATTGTCTCCTGCAATGTGTGAATTTCCTTCCACAGGTGGATAAATTACCTTCTACACTAGCTACAATCCTGCTTGATGTAATACAAACGTCTCTACCAGAGGGAATCCAATTCACTATGAAATACGTGAGTAAATCGGGAGATGTGTGAATGAAATAGTTGCACATATTTTACTGCGAAAACGTTTGTACAATTAATTTATTGCGTCGTAACCCTGATGTAAATTCTGTGCCAAGAATCCTTATATGGAAATGTGCATGGTACACTCTCCTCCGAATATATGATCGGTGTTTGTACTATCTTTATTTCCAGCATACACAATTGGCCGATATTTCACGTTACATCCCAGACAGGGAGCTTAAAGAGTTGGAGGCACAACTTACTGATCTGGGAGGCCCCTCAGAAGACCGAAAAAAGAGGCGGTGATCGTAGTCAGCGTGATTTCATTGATTACACCGGTGGTTGCCAACTGTAAAAAGCATCACTCAATGGTGGTCTTGCTTTGCACGTGCGAACTTGCACAGTAAGTGATACTTACGTGAAAAAAGACGAGAATGTTTTTATATGTATTGATAGAAAACATGGAATAGATTGTGTGAGAATAGACACAAAACACAAAATCGCAATAAAAATCTAGCACTAAACAAGCAGCTTTGTTTATAACATTTATTGCATGGTATAAATAAATGGTGGATCAAATAGACGTACTTCATGTTTGTTCATTTTTATGACCATCTTTCTTGTAATAAAAATATTACATGTTATGAATGCATAAATTCCTACAAATTGCAATACAAAATATAATTCATGAGAGGGTTCTCAACTATATATTAGTTAGATATAAAAATACATAGAAAGTTGTATTATTACCATTTCCACGTTTTTCTGTAGTTTCTATAGTAAATGCTATAAATTAAACTATAGCCTGATACAGCCTCCTGCAAAAGATACCTGTACAGACTCAAAAATACCATGAGCTCAACATACATGGGTTATAACCAATTATAGATTTTGCTGTGGTTTTTATATGTATGTCATGAGATTTAGTACATAAAACATCCTGGAATGTTTAATATCACCACTGATACATATGGTAGTTGTCTAACTTCTCAATAGATCATTGTGCCCGAAGGTGATGTTTACACATTTTGAGCAGATGCTACAAACCAATTCTCGCGTGAAATTGAGATTCAAATTTAAAAAATTCATATCATCAGATAAAATATTATTTTGCAGTGTTGTCAAGATAGACTGCCACATTTATAAAGAATTCCTCCTTAGAACGTGTAGATTATAACGCAATATATATTACATAATATATAATATCAAGAGGGTATAAAGAAGGAGAGCGTACAACGGTAAAATGCTGAAACCATGTTGCAGTATAAGTCAAATTAATAAACTTTCCCCGTTTTATTTTGACGACTCTTTTACTTTTTGCAGTATTATTGATCAGCTGTCCTACCTTGTTAATATAAAACAAACCGCATGTCCCTACGATACCTCTATGCTGAGATAATGAGCGGTGAAAATGTGGTATTTTTGCAGAAAACCGACTCGAGATCAGTTTTACCGCGTCTGTCTCTCCTTTTGTGGACTGTATGTTGTTTCCGGTCGCGGCTGTGTAGCGCTGACTCGATGCGTTATTAGTTATTACTACAGCGTTACTACATCCAGCGTAAGGGGCGGGTCATCACCATGGCGATAAATAACAACGTTTTTGTGGAGTAATGGCTGCGTCAATGACTGGAAATACGAGAAAAGATAGTAGAAGGAAAATAAATTTCATTGTCAATGGATGACGGAAACACGCGAGGTTTCCCGAAGCTATCGCCAGAACGAGAGACAGTCGCAGCCACTACGTATCTCGGTTTTCGGCGAAAATACCAGATTTTCACCGCTCATTATCTCAAGCGTTAGACGGCGATCTGTAGGGACAAGCGGTTTGTTTTATATTAGCAAGGTAGGACAGCTGACGTGTCAAAATAAAATGGGCAAAGTTTTATTAATCTCGACTAATACTGGAGCGCATGGTTTCAGGCATTTCAGCCGTTGTACGCTCTCCTTCTTAATACGCTTGATATTATGATATATAATATATAATATAGTTATATAGTGTGTATGAACATAAAGATTCATTTCGCACATTTATGCATCAGGGGTTTTCCTGGCACAAGAAACTGATCGCCGTAGTTGCTTGACGCAGAATGAAAGAGGAACTATATTTTGGCGCGGTCACATTGCAGGCAGTTGAGGGCTAAAAGGTGTTACACACTCGAGTATAGGTTTAAAAACTAAAGTCGGCACGACCTCTGCATCGCTTTGCTTTTATTCCTGCTGTGTGTTGCCATCTGCATCACGCTGCTGTCACCTGGATCTTAACCGGCACACTTTCCACAGCACGCGCTAACAACGGCGGTTGCATTTGAAGGCCTTAGATTGGTAGCTAGCCGGAGCATAGGAATCATGCTGGACATACTGATGTCTCTCATTAATTTTATGCCCAGGTTGCAAATCGGCCGCGCGGATGCATCGGGTGGGTTATATCTGGCCTGATGAGATTGTGCAGGTGGCGGGTGTGTGGTCTGGACTGATGAGATCCACAAGGTGGTGGTGTGTGTCTGGACTGATGAGATCCACCAGGTGGGCGGTGCATATCCGCTACTGATGAAGAGCACCAGGTGGCGGTGTGTGTCTGGTCTGATGAGAGCCACCAGGTGGGCGGTGCATATCCGCTATGAGATCCACCAGGTGGCGGTGCGTTCCACTATGAGATCCACCAGGTGGCGGTGTGTGTCTGGCCTGATGAGATCCACCAGGTGGCGCGTGCATATCCGCTATGAGATCCACCAGGTGGCGGTGCGTAGCCGCTAATAAGATCGCACCAGGTGGCGGTGCATATCCGCTATGAGATCCACGCAGTGGCGGTGCGTATCCGCTATGAGATCCACCAGGTGACGGTGCGTGTGTCTGCCTGATGAGATCGACCAGGTGGCGTGCATATCCGCTATGAGATCCACCAGGTGACGGTGTGTGTTGGCTATTATACGAACCGACAAGTGGCGGCGTGCGCGTGGGCCCGGCAACGCACGTGCCTCGTGGACGAGTGGGTACACGCCCCTGCTCATGCTGACCGCGCACTGCGGGAAGTGCAGGAGGGGCATGGCGACGTCGGCTTCGTCGGACACGCGCGGCCGGCTGCGGCGGCGGCGCGTCACCTGTGCTCGCACGACTCAGCATATCGCTTCGTAATCTCCGCGGGTACAATCGCCGCCACCGACGATGGGCCGGCGGCCGCGCGTGGCCGCGCAGTGGGACACGTCAATGTACCGACCTGACACAGCTAGGGTGAGTAACGAAGGCGAATCAGAACCTGAGGCGCGGCAGTGTCCGGCCCTCCGTCCTCCGGCGTCCGGCTCCGCGCGGCGAAGCCATCCGCACCAGAAGGGGGCGGCCACAGCCGCCCTCCGCGTCCTCCGGCGGCCCGCTCGGCACGGACGTCCGACCACGAGGGGGCGCGCACTGCCCTCCTCGCTCCGGCGGCGCGCTGCGCAACTGAGTCCCACCACGAGGGCGCACACCGGCCTCCGTCCCGCGGACCACGTAGGCCCGCCCGCCCCCCGCGCCCCCTGTTGTTTTTGGGGTTTTACTCCGTCGCCTGGACGACGTCCGACACGAGGGGCGCGCCACAACCGCCTCCTCGTCCTCCGCGCCGCTCCCGCCTGGTCAGGAACCGGACGTGCAGCACACCAGAAGGCGGGCGCCGCAGCTGCCGCCTCTCGTGCCTCGCATCTGAGTAGAATGCGAAGGGTCAGGCGGCCGGGGTCGCACGGGAGACGTCCGCACCAGGAAGGGGGCGCCACAGCCGCCCTCGCGTCCTCGCGGCAGCTGCGCGGGACAGACTCTCCTAGCGCAGCGAGGGGCGCGCACCGCCCTCGCGTCTCGGCGGCCCTCGACCCGGAAAGACGTACCGCGTCCAGAGAGGGGGCGGGCGGTCACGGGCCTCCGTTCTCGTGGCGCGTCCGGGCCTCGCAGACAACGTCCCGCACCAGAAGGGGGGCGCCGCAACACGCTCCGTCCTCTGAGTTTGGCGCTCGCTGTGACGCGTCCGCACCAGAAAGGGGGAGCGGGCGCACCAGCCCTCCCGTCCTGCGTGGAACGAACGCGAGGGGGTCCTCGACGGGGAATCGCGGCAGACGACGGCGGCTCGGCGCTACCCCCGGTCAGTTTCCGCTGGTCGATGCCCGGCGGGGCCGCGTAGGGCGGAGGAGGGAGCCTTCCTTCCTTTATCGGCGCAGGCTCCTCCGTCGTCGCCGCCGCCGGTTTCCCGCTTTGCTCTGGCTTGCTCCTGAACGGAGACGCGATCTTGCCCTTCTTGTCCTTGCGGTGGGAGGAGCGACGATCTTTCCGCCGCCGCAGGCTGTTGGCGTCGAACACGACATGGATGAGGTCATCTTCCCGCAGCTCCGGCCGAGACGCCGGCGCCCCCGTGCGACCCGTCCTCACGACGCGTGCCTCCGCGGACGACTGCGACGCGATCGCGAACGGCCGCGCGGTGGGGCCGGCGTAGGGTTCGCGCGCGAGCTGCTGCTGCAGGGATGCGAGCCGTGTCAGTGGTGCCTCCTGGTGGGACGGATGCGTCGGCTTCGCGCCACGCTGCGTGTCGGGCGGCGGCTGCGCGTCGGTGGCGCCACCTAGTGCATGCGCAATGGAGTTGTGAGGATAAAAGCCGGAAGGAGCCGGGTGAGAGGTCGCTGCACCCTTACCCTGATCTTTGTGCCTCATCTTGTGAGAGGCTGGTGTTACAGCGCCGGTGGCCGTCTGTGCATGGTCGTTAGGTATCTTGGTGGCATCTTGTGGCAGATTCTCTTCTGTGTTATAGCCTTTGTTCCATTGGGTATCAACAACATGGCCAGTGGGAGGTGGGGAATCTAATAAACAATAACACTAATAACAGCAATGCTAACAAGAAAAACTACAACTACATCAATAACAACGACAACAACAATGACAACAAATTCGACAACAAAAAACGGCAATAAAAACGATGACAACAACAACAACAATAAAAGCGACAAGAAAATGACAACAAGAACGACAGCAACAGTATGCTTTTAACATGAAATGTAGTAAACAAGCTAAATGTAACAACACACTGACGAATATACTGCTCTGCTCCTTACCAACAAAAAATTTCATCAAATTTCATCAATGCAAGAATGAGCGATAGGTTTATTTCACAATCCTCTGCGTAACTGGCAGGTAGATAGATACCTGTAAGGAGGCTGGGGCTTCCAGGTGGAGGTGATCGCGTTCCCCGGGCCATCGGATGCTCAGCATCTGCCTCCGCATCTTCTTCATCAAGGTAAGACTCATCGTCCTCAGTGTAGTCACTAGCATCTCCTCCTTCCGACTCTAACGTAACAGGTCAGCAATACAAAAATCATTAAGAACATATGAAAGGAACATAGGAATTCATATAGAGTCGCATCACACCCTTTTTTGTTTTGCTGACATTACTAAATATCACTCGCATTTATTCGGACACGTTTTGTACAGAAGTCAATGCCTTACGCGAGAAAATCAGCTTGCGCACAGCAAAATGGGGGCAACGTTCACGCACCTGTGTAAAATGACACCGACTCTATCTCATCAGCCTTCTCAAGTGCTGCCTGAGCCAGAGATTGCTCCCCACGATCCGCGGCCAAGTAGTGAATATCCTGCAGATCGAACGCAGAACATTACACGAAGCACTGATTAACGACGAATGGACAAAGCCATTTAGGCCACAATTAAAAAAATCTTTGTTTGCCCTCACCCCACCCAGGCTGGAAAGTTTGGGTAGGTACTAGGTAGGTCGGCATTTTTTCGAGGGGGGTCTTTTTACCAATTCAGCATGGTGTCTACATGCTCGGGTGTGCTTGTGTGGAGATACCTTTTATGTTGAATGTTTGTTTTACTTGGTACATATAATGTATTGCCTACAGATTTATATAATGTACAGTGATACAATTTGTAAAAAAAAAATTTTAATGGGAAAGATCAATAAAAAATTTTGAGTGAGGGGGTCGCTCAGGTGAGGGCAAACAAACAATATTTGTATTATGGCGTTATCGTAACCAATTTTGCGACAACTTGGGCGTAATTTCTTGTTCTAGCAAATGCTTATTCCAGTTAAGAGTGTTATGTATTAAACAAGTGGGTTTGTAAGCTAATTCGTGTATGTAAAAAATAAATGTGTACATAGAAGAGTTATAGAGCAATGCTCATTATACTAGACAAGGAGATGAAAGCAATATCGTTCAAATAAAATTACCATGAATAGATCCCTGTCTCCAATATCAACCGCTAGAAGGAAGGCTTTCTCAAACCTCTGAAATCTGAAATGCAAATCAATATGCTAATTATACATTAGCGATCATTATAAAAGTGATAAACCTCACTTAAATTGTGATTATACAGAGCATATATAGGCAGTTATGTGGTTAAACTAGTTTATGCAGGACTATCTCTGCTCCAGATGAACGATACTATAGCCCAATATGTAGCACATCATAAACAGGCTTCATTTTCTCACTGCTAACTCTGCCACACTGCTAATATATTATATATATATATATATATATATATATACGTAGTCTCACCTGAGCAGATGATGGAAGAATCTGCGTGCTAGGCGGGAGATCGAATCTCTGTACTCGATAATTGTCACATCCGTTAGATACTTGGACGGTGAGTAAAAACTACCTAATGCACTCTCGAGCTGGGCTGAAAAGTCAACGAAGAATACTCCTAGTCTTTAGTAGTGTGTTAGGAAGGTAAATGCTACAAATTTGATGAAAATGTTACAATGTATATTCTGACTGCATCTAATTATGCAACAATGTAGAAATATTGCACATTTGAGTAGCCCATGCTGCAACTATGTTGTGCAGGTTCCAACCTTTGGTAAATAGAGACCAATGATTCAAAGTCGCATCACTCTGATCGCATCAGCTCATGTTACTCATTCCAAACTACAACATTCACGTACACACATATATCTTACTTTCTCGTTGTACGTTCAGTGGCATTTTCAGTAGATGATTCACGATGACATTCAGACAAATGTAGCAGCTTTCACCCTCCGTGTTCCAGTTCATGCTGTTCAGGAGGGCCCCAGCTTCCGTCAGCTGCCTGCTCTTAGCATACTGCTTAACGAGTTCTACAGCAGACAACTGACCCCCAGATGTTGCTCCAAGCTGAAACTGCACCATTCCTACTGGACCCCTATTAGAAGAGTATAGGACACGCTCTTAGCACATACAACTTCAATAGTTAGTGCCCCTGCTCACGGATAGAAATTAGTTGAGGATAGATGTTTCGAATAGTGCTGGAATTCATCGCCTTTTTTGTTTTTTGTCACTAATGGATTTTCCATGGCTAGTTTTAGAATGGTGGTCAATATGTTTTAGTAGGCATAGCATTTCTCAGCATATTCAGAGCCATACATAAACTACTGTATACGCTGTATATTTCGCAGTGGTTTAATTTTCGCAAATTTCGCGAACTTGTCCCCGACCGCGAAAGTAACAACACGCGAATAATTCATACCGAATAATACCAAATAATTCATAATTCACCGACCGCGAAATTAACCACTCGTGAAATTGTCCGTCAAGTCTGAATTCGCGAAAATATCTGTATGCGAAAAATATGGCGTATAACAGTACACAATTTCCATCCAATAAACTTGGCATATGAACAGCATTACCCATAATCGGCATGTCACTCCTATTGGCAAATGCGATTGTTTCACGACTTACCTGTCAAAGATGAGGACAAGAGAGTCGACAACATCCGTCATGTAGTCAGTAGGACGCACTTCACAGTCACACCACTGCATCAGCTGCACCGTCGGTGGAGCCCTGTTGTACGTAGTAGCAGCATCATCAGCAGTAGTTGCAGTAGTGTAGGAGTAGTCGTAGTAGTAATAATAGCAGGGATTAATAATGACATCATTGTCATGAATTGGCATTGTCATAACTTGGCATTGTCACTGTCATATTGACATAATTTGTCATTAGTAACCCCTGATAATAGTTATACAGTGTAGCCCCGTTATAACGCGATGGTTGAGGTCCATAAAATGTCATCGCGAAAAAAGCGGAGTCCCACTAAATCGGGGTACGTGGCTACTAGATAAGAGCAGAAAAAGGGGGTCCAACGACTCATCGCGTTATATCCGAATTCGCGTTAAATCGGGGCATGTAAAATCGGGGTTCCACTGTAGTAGTAGTAGTAGTAATGGTATATAGTCATAGTAGAAATAAAATGTTTGTTAATTACCATAAGATATTACATTACAAGAGATTCATGGCAATGAACATAGAAGCAGAGTAGAGATGAAGAAATATTTTATGTAGAATAGAGCCAGATTTGGCCTGATGCAGATGACCGAGCAAAGCCTTATAAAGGCTGACAGTTTACAACGAACTTTCTTAGTGCTAGCATTATGGTGCACTGCTCTTTAAAGAGGGTGTACAAATTTGGTTAGACAGTATCCTGGGTTGCTGTTTCAAAAGAAGAGATCAAGAAATAGGTCCAACAGCATTGCTGCTCTAGGAGTTGGGGCACAGTCTGATTGGTCGAAGTTGAGATACGTAGCACACATTGTAGTACACAGTAATGAAGAAATCGGTACCAGCAAGCATACCTAAAGTACATGTTCAGTTCCAGAACTTTTGATGGTTTCGGATTTTCTGATATTACACCCAATGAAAGCTGACCCAGAGTCATATCAAATGCCTGTAAAGTACAGTCAAGAGTCCACAGATTACCTACAGTGCAAATTGTAAACACACACGTACCACTGCAGACACAACTATTAAAAGAATAATACATACATACCATAATAATATAATAATATGCCCATTGATTATGCAAAGTTGACGAATGCTACAGTAACTGGCACCTTGTGCAGTTAATAAGTACATTACCTTATAGCCAAACGCATATTAGTTTGTCCAATATGACCGCTGGTTACTAAGAAATGTCTAATTGAAATCCGCAGTCCAAGAAATCAGTTGACTGACTTGTTTACAGTTTCGAAACCACATACGACTAAAGGGGTGTGATACAGATTTATAGTGCACCGGACATTTTCGCACGCATGCTCAGCCGTACGCAATGCTAGCGATAGTACAGTACCGTATCTGTATACGTAATAGTAGCTCTGATTGTAATGAACGTGAAATCCCCGTATGAATCACGGACGCTCGTGATAATGAAGTAGGCTGTGTTGGAGGCCAACACTATGGTGGGATCGTGGACTAACCATGGCCACAGACTAAACATGGAAAGCAGACGGCACTACGCGTATTTACGCATATTGGTCAAACGAATACATCTGTGTCCGAAATTGAAGACATGTGGGTACCCGTTCATTAGCACCCACGGTTATTTACTTGTGCCTCAATACCGAGAATACACCCAGAGATACATTCTACTAGCAGTAACTAGCTCATTAGTCGTTATAAGCATCCCGGAACAAACAATTCTCTGCTCAACACCCGTAGCAACATGTGACGTCACCTAACCGAATTTGAAGCTATTTTGCTTGGCAACTAATTTAGCGTTGGCGCCAGATTACCAGATTTACGGCTTTCAATTAGACATTTCTTAGTAATTAGCAGTGATATTGGACAAACTAATACGCGTTTGGCTATAAGGTAATGTACTTATTAACTACAGAAGGTGCCAGTTACTGTAGCATTCGTCAACTTTGCATAATCAATGGGCCTATTATGCCTTCTTAAGCAGATTCTTGAGATTAAGCAGATTCTTTGAGATTAAGCAGATTAAGCAGATTCTTGAGAGCGCTAGATACAATTGCCAACAACGATGAATTGATTCTTGGATTCATTCAATTCATTTTAAAAGCATTCTAGAGCCATCTCATAGTTCAAGTACTTATTAATTAATTTATGTTATATAAATGCTATGTGTGAATTAGAAGGTTTGGTTTACCCTCATCTCTCCTCTAGCACTGCTGACAATGAAGACAGCTCCAAGAGGGTGCCATGAAACATGCTGCGCCACCTACAGTTAATAAAACAAATTACAAAAAATTATTACGGCTACATTCCAAACTACCTGCAATTATTTATTAGATGCCCTAAACACCGTTGTATGCAATGCACGACAGTGAATATCATATTACTACTTAGTGCCTCTATTGATAAATTGTGTAAAATATTCGAACACAACATGAATATATTATCAGTGATCAATGAATATGACATTCCTGATTTTCAATAAAGAATTCATTTAATTACTGGAGTCATAATTCTAGATATCAACATTAAACATGTTGTGCCTGCCCTACTTCTGAAAACAGTATGATTCATCTTAAGTGACTAGCTACTGAACATTCAATTTTGGCTCTAAAAGAGCTCTATTTCTGTTGTAAACACTATGCTGAATAAAAAATAAACATATCTTTACCTACATGGAAAGTAACGCTGCCAGGGTCTATGTCTCCCTGGGTACTGCCAGAACGTGCCCTGGTACTATCTAATATGCCGGACCATACCTCGCCTACTCCACTAACGAGTTTAGGGAGTCGCCTACGCCTACTCCCTAACCCTAACCCTAACCATATCAGATAGTTACCAGGGTATATTCCGGTATACCGGACCGTACCCACGGTACGTTCCGGCAGTACCCAGGGAGACATAGACCCTATCAGCGAAAGTAACGTCAATTTGTTATTACATACCACACAAACATCAGCCATCTGCGTGACATTTCTCGTGAAGTCATAGAGAATCTGGGTAAATAGAAAACATTCACTCATTATGAAGGCATGCGCACGTGCAAAAGCTCCAATAAGCAAAAATATTACTTCTTGTGCTTTGTTCCAATCCAAGTCTACATACTGCTATAACTAGTGCTAAATATTCTTGATTGAAAGCAGTAACAACAGTTTATTTCTACGACAAGCTATGATCATTTAATCCTTATCTGCATTGGGAATAGGGTGGCTACTTTTTCCTGTGGCTGGTTCAACACTTTGTATGCCATATACTTTGTCTATACCACTAAACCACTAAATCATGTACTGTACTATAAGAACAGTGTCTCCAACTGTACTAATTCTACACATAACGCATGTGAACTAACCAAGTTTCCATCGTCGCAGGTAACAACGAGTCTGTCTTCAGCTAGATTCCTTCCAACTGCCACCACAGTTGCTATGGAAACACAGTTTCATGCATATATGAGAAATCTACAAGCTCACCAAATAACTATGGCAATGAAGATTTCAATAACAGAGAAAACATAGTAAACCAATAACTGTCTGTAGAGTCGTTTCCCACCAAGTACAAGTATTTTCAATCGTTATGCAAAAAAAATTGCAGAGCAACATTTGGTAGGACTAATGGCACAAGTGTGCAGATATAAGTTAAATGCAAACAACCACCAATCTAAACAAAGATCGGACGTATATGTCCTTACCTGGATAAGTGGCAGACGTATCTATTCATAAGATGGAGGACAATAGAGCATTCGGCAGAGCATGCAATGGCAATAAAAAATTAAAAAAAATCAAAAACCTAAAATTTGAATGCAAATCAATATTGCACTTAAATCTTGGCTTTTTTGTGCATATGATACACACCTAAAACTACATATAAACAAGAATGTTGAAATACCATGAAAAACGACATGTGAAAGCAGATATGGATAGATGCAGAAATAGTCTATTATGTTTTCTAAACACACAGTATCCATTTAACATTGCTGAATGCTTTTCCAGCATATTGTAAATGCTAACGACTACCCATCTCATAAATGTTCATAGAAAACCGTAATGATGCCAACAACAGTCATGCTACTTCATATAGTGCAAATGTCTTACTCACCTTTTAATGGAATTGTTATGGTAGAAACTCGCTGCAGCTAGAAATAATCATAACTATACTTAATTCAATTTTCATTCTACATAATTTTTTAAGCACTATTGCATTATAAATGAGTTTTCAATTGCAGTTTCTAATTTCAGTACTTGACATTAACCTAAAGTATAAACATTCAGTCTTGTGTAGATTTTAAACAATTATTCATTTATAAATTATAAACACCTCTGCATGCAGTTGACGCTGACCTTAATTTTTACTATAAATTACTTAGATTTCTGATTCTGGCCAAATGTTCGTATAGGGAATAAGCATACCCGGGAAGGTGTGATTTCGTATGTGCAACTGTCAACGGAAAATGCTGCTTGGTTACGACTGACCACTTCAACTGTCAGAATCTGGTGTGGCTCGATGTTACTGAAAATATTACAAAATATTTTAATTTGTTGAATACTTAAAACCAAAGGTAAAAAAGTATCATATAAAAAAACAATTTCTACATACAAGTATTAATAATTTACAATCTCAGAAATGCATCAGATTGATCGTAATGGTAAAATCTACTAGTACATTTAATTTAAATAAATACCTAGGAGAAACCACACCGCATAACACCAATTTGGCAAAAATTAACATAAGTTACCTAAACATTGCATGTACTGGCTCATTCTCAGAAGTCGCAAAGCATCTCACATATAATGTAGCTCTGAAATGAAGAACAACTTAAGTGACTTTTAGGCTGTATTTAGGTAGTGATATAGGTAGGTGTGAAGGTAGGTGTGTAAGTAAGTTGGTGGGAGGTGTTACGTAGGGTGTATACACAGAACATAATGTTGCAGACACTGAATATGAAACTATGCATAGACCGACACACATAAACAAAAAGATCTTATGACAAATGATGATTACTATCTAAAGCCATCCACAAATTTGAACCGAATAGTTTTCTATACTCTGCAATATATAGTAACAAGAGCGTATAACATGTATAAGCGCGAGCGAGCGCTCTTGATAGTAAATATAAAATACGACCTAAAGTGCGGCGCACACGTGAGTTATTTTACTCAAGTAAAATGACGCATGAGTCAAATTACTCAACGAAAATCCGCCGCACACGTGAGTAAAATGACGCATGAGTCAAATTACTCAACGAAAATCCGCCGCACACGTGAGTAAAATGACGCATTCGTCAAATTACTCAACGAAAATCCGCCGCACACGTGATTAAAATGACTCATGCGTCATTTTACTTGAGTAAAATAACTCACGTATGCGCCAGGCTTTACAATGGTTTCGATTTTCCTTGCATAATCTAGTAGGGATGATAGAGCAGACAAAGTTATTACAGCATCTTGCACATGTACGTGTTATTTTTATTTATTTATTAATTTAAAGATGGTACATTTGTAACAGATATGCCAACATGAGCTTGCAAGCTCCTCACCGTCAGTACAGTAAATTGATACAATTCTTAATTAAAAGTGCTAGTCTAACAATGTAACAAGCAACGGTACCATGGCAGCTAGCCTAGGTACCCCTTACTAAAATTAAATCGTGGTAACTATGGTATAACATTGTACAATGGAGCATCGGACATAAAAAATAATATCAACTTATGAGGGACACTGATGTATTCGTACAGAAAACGTAGGTACTAGTTATTAATTAGAGGGATGAGTTCACATAATATCGGGTGGGCTTGAATCTTACCCATTAATAGCAAGCACCACTAAGTTTGACGTGTCTCGGTCACTGGTGAGTGGAGACCATGGCTTCGCTTCATCTGTTGCTTTTGGCCACCAGACAAGAACCTAGGGGTACAAAGTTCACCATTAGCATTGGCAAAGTAGAAGCAAAGTGCAATCACTGCGTAGACTTTGTGTCTAAAACTGCTATGTATGACTGAGGGGTCAAATATATCATACAAAAGTTATTTGTTTTTTCTATTTTCTGTTTACTTTTATATGGTGACAAATACTTTGTACGGACAAAATGTGATTAGCCGGTTAATTTATAAGTTCACAAAAAGTTTAATAACTATTAAACTGATATACCAATTCATAAGTTTGAATTCAGCTTGTGCACAATGTGCACAAAAACAGGTGTCTTCTACCTGTAGTCATAATAGAATAAATTCATGCTCGCCTACTTATGACCAGTGTTAACCCGCACCCTCCAGTGATGCTTAGAGTTAATTCCCACTATCAATGCTCACATGCTAGCCACCAACGCCTACCTGCTAGCCATTGATGATTATATACTCACTATTAATGCTCATCTGCTCATCATTTATGCTTCCCTGTTCACCATTGATGCTTACCTACTAGATATTGATGCTTACCTACTAGACATTGATGCTTACCTACTAGACATTGATGCTTACCTACTAGACATCGATGCTTACCAACTAGACATTGATGCTTACCTACTAGACATTGATGCTTACCTACTAGATATTGATGCCTGCTTCAATGTTCATTATTGACGCTTACCTGCTCATCGTCAATGCTCCCAGACAGCTTTCTCTCCATTCTTCTATTCTTGAAGCCAGGCAATTCAATCGTCACCACCTGTTGGTTAATTTATTGCAAAAAAGAGACAACTAATTAGCAAGGCTAATATAGAGGCTAATATAGACATATAGATGGCAAGACAAAAAGTTTTTGTGAATTTTCAGATAGTTTTCCTTGATGAGCGCTGTCAACTTATCGAGCGTACCAGAATGGATATCTGCTCTCCCATAAACATTACCTAATCTTATAGCATTACAAGTAGGTTACTGTTATTATGCAAACACCTAACCATCTACGAAAACATAACAGCTGTGGAATTATTGCGGGAATCATTGAAATGTGCTATCTCGCAAGTCACCTTCGGTTCCAAGCTGGCAAGTTTCTCCCATTTCTTGATGGTATCAACAGGATGGGCGCGCTTCGTGAAGTAGATGTAGTTCAATTTGTTGATGTGAAATGATAACATCAAGTACCCATCTGTGATAACAGCTGCCAGACAAGAAATACATACATAAATAAAAATAATTTATAACATATTTTGGATCTCACACCACTGAAAGTGAAGTAATATTGGCAGACTTTTTAATCTGGTACAGATATGCAAATACAAAATAGGGTAAAGTGCATAAATAGTTGATCTCACAAATGTCAAGATATACTGTTGATAAATAACAAGAGATATGTTCACATACGATAGATGTCACTTGATCTAGTAAGAGTACAATTTTGTTAAATTACATGTTCACACATTTAAAATGGTTATAAGTATGTATAAATACCATCAACGACAATATCAGAGCAGAGTTTGCCAACAAGATATCGGTCAATGATTACTCTTTCTACATCTCCTGAATAGGCGCTAAGAATCACTGAGACAAGGGTTCCATTGTCAAGCATCAACTGAAAACATACAATTTTAGATCAGTTTATCAAATTTTTTAGATAACGTTCCAGCGATCATTGCTTCAAACATGAGCTATTGTGCTTTTATGATAATTATAGATTACAAGAAACAAACTGACACTAAATAATTAATATTGATTATTACTATATAGACTCAATTAAAAAATAAAAATAATCGTTTAACACTTACAATAAACAGAACAATGAGTCTGCATGCAATCACCATGTCACCCTTCACACGGTATAAACCACAAACGACAGATGCAATAATATACTGACTCATGTACACATATGCTGTTAACACCGTGTCAAAATTTAAGATTACAAGCAAGCTCTTGTCTGCACTGGGAATCAGAAAGCAAGTTACATATCCCACCTGCAACAGTCTCCTAGTCCTCCACTCAGCATGGACACATATGCAGGTGCTTAGCAGTTCTTCTAACTCCTTTATTGAGTCTCTAAGTTTTTCCGGACGTTTGTTCTTTGGCACCCACATGATATCCCTACCTTCATGTTAACACAGTAAGCTATCACAATAACAATCAAAAACTAGATCACCTGCACACTATTTTAGAGACAGAGTTAAAAATACATAAATGTATAAATACAATTAGACGTATACAACAAGAATACCATTTAATGTAGACGTGTTCTTGACAGTGTAAAAATTAGTCAACTATCAATCAAATCTGCAACTTTTACCTTCAATATACTGCTGCTTCAAGTCTAGATATGTGTGGCCAGTTGTCTCTGGGGCAGACACATTCAATGTACCTGCACAATGTAAAAAATACATTAACACAGATTAAAAATATAGCTTTGAATAGTTTTGATGATGGCAATTGTTTTTGTAAACATTGCAAAATAATGCCATCACTTAGAGGGCAAACGTTAGCATATAGGAGTAGCAGGGGACCATCAATATATCTACAATTATGTGAAAATGAGGTAAAACCTCTGGTCATTTACCCATCTTATAGATCTTACTAGACTGTTACTACTGACCAGCTTAATGCATGACCAAATGCATAGCAGTATATAAATGCCGCTCTGTTACTATGTAGCCCCCTCCCTCTCATGCACCCTCTTTGCCCCGCCACCTATTATTATAAAGTGTGGAGAACACCGCATTCTAGCACTGCCACGTATTACACTTACCTGTTTCTTTTTTGTCATGGTAGCTGTGGCAGGATATATCACTTTCTGTAAAAATGACTCATTTGTATTATTAAACAGATCAATTATAGAACATGAAACTTTATCTGGTGAGCTATAGAAGTCTCCCTTGTGAAGTATTGTAGATAATACCATCTATGCACAATACCGTGCAACATAACTTTTGCCTCTTGTATTCCCTAAAAGTAAAATGGCCAAATTGACAGCCATATACCGTTGCTATGAGCATATCTATGCAATGCACTGTAATAGATATGTACATGGTGTTGCCTTGGCACTACACCATCATACTGTAACTAACAAACCACCAGAAAACTGTAATGAAGCATCGAAAAACACAGAACCAGAAATTGATAAGAAAAGAGGTTCTAACCTGGTATAGTGATTATATCTTTCAGTGTCCATAAATGAAGTTCTGTCTGTAGACCAGCCATATCGTGGAATCAGAAATCAAGTGGTCCAACAACTTCTAGTAGTAGGATTAGAATAAAGCCTGACTGGAAACTTCAGACTAGGCCGGCACAATCCTAGTTTGGGTATGATAGATAATAATTAAAGGGAAAGTTTACTCTAGGTTCTAGGGTTATTTTCAGCTAATTTAGGTTATAATTACGCTACATAAAAAGTTTCATGGTTCAATCACCATTAGAAATATTTTTTTTTAATGTTTTAAAACTAACGACTACAGTTTGATTACAACGACGGTGGCGCCACTCAAAGCGCACGATCTGATAAGTTGCGCAAAACCACTTTCCAGCCAAGGGCTACAGACCGTGGGTGTTTCTTATTTATTCATTTAAAAGCAAAAG